TAAAAAAAAAAAAAAAAAAAAAAGAGGTTTAAAATCATGGATTTTGGGGCCAAGCATGGTGGCTCATGCCTGTAAGTCTAGCACTCTGGAAGACTGAGGCGGGAGGATCATTAGAGCCCAGGAGTTTGAGACCAACCTGGGCAACATGGAGAAACACCATCTCTACAAAAAATAAAAAACTAGCTAGGCGTGGTGGCTCGCCTGTAGTCCCAGCTACCTGGGATGATAAGGTGGGAGGATCACTTCAGTCTGAGAGGTTGAGGCTGCTTTGAGCCGTGATATGTCACTGCACTCCAGCCTGGGTGACAGAGTGAGACTCTGTCTCAAAAAAAAACCAAAAACAAAAACAAATTATGGATTCTGAAACCAGACTGGTATGTGACTTATTAATTGTACGATCCTAGACAAGTTACGTTCTCTGGCATCAGTTTTAGAACCCTGTGGGGCAGGTGCTATTATCTTCGCTCTGTCAAGTGGGTATATAGTAACAGTACCTGCCTCACAGGATAGTTACAAGGATTGAGTTCATATAAGTAATTTTCTTAGAATAGTAACTGGTCCATTGTAATTGTTGTTTAAATGTTTGGTATTATTATTATTATTAAACAGACATGATTTCTACCCTTGTGGACTTTAACCTAGGAAACAAAAAAGTAGTAAATAAAAATAATTGTTTATTTTAATAAGTTATGAAGACACCAGAGTACTGATATGAAAGACAGTAGAGTGGGCATACATAGGACAGCCCTGTAAAGGGCCTCCTTGAGATTGCAGTGAAAGGGTCTGTGAGAGATGGGAAGGAGTCTTTTAGATTACTTCCAGTATTTAATACAGGAGTCAAATAATTTAATCTTTTTTCCTAATTGTCCACCGTATATTCTTTAAAAAAATTTTTTTTCCAACTGTTACACAAAGAAGTAACATATTCTTTGAAAAGAAAAGAATTAGTGGGATTTAGTTAAAAATTTGTCAGTGGTTTTGTTGTGTTGAAAGTAAAAGTAAAAATGTATGCCAGAACTGTTGTCCTACCCATCGGTGTTATTTCAAGATGATTTAAGATTGCACCAGGAGACTCTTTGTTCGTTGAATCTTCCTTGCATTTAACATTATTAATATTGAGTAGAAAGGTGTTAACTGGTAGTTAAAATTTTTAGCCTCCTACGTATCTTTGCTTAATGATATAAAATGGTCCTAAGCATTTCTCTTAGAATTAAAATTAATTTAAAATTTAGAATATGTAACAAATCACATCTTATTTTGCAATTTGTAAGGCTACCTTGCTAAAATTGAGGAGCATGGGGCAGAGACAATAATGTTTTGTTAAACTTTAATAATAGCATGTAATATCATGGTCAGGAAGAATATATAATGCTGAGAGCAATAGATTGGTGTCCTCTGGTTTACCTGAAACCTTCATTTATTGACTTGATGCGATCCTACCTGAGAAGGTTTTGTTTTGTTGTGTTTTGTTTTGAGATGGAGTCTTGCTCTGTCACCAGGCTGGAGTGCAGTGGTGTGATCTCAGCTCACTGCAACCTCCACCTCCTGGGTTCAAGTGATTCTTCTGCCTTAGCCTCCTGAGTAGCTGGGACTACAGGTCTTGCTCTGTTGCCCACGCCACCACACCCAGCTAATTTTTTGTATTTTTAGTAGAGACGGGGTTTTACCTTGTTGGCCAAGATGGTCTCACTCTCTTGACCTCGTGATTTGACTGCCTCAGCCTCCCAAAGTGCTGGGATTACAGGCATGAACCACCACATTTGGCTAAGAAGTTCTAATAATAGCAAAGTCTGTCATCATATGGAGGATGATAATATTTTTATAGACAAATAATTATTTAATATTTATGTCACCTACATCTATTTTAATATTTTTTCTTTAGTTCGTGCTTTTATTGGTAAGATTATTATAGGTAAAAGCATATATGGTATGTTTTGTGAAATGTCTTTATTACTGACTTGGTGATGTCATGGATATGTAGCCTGCTCAGGAAGAACTCAGAGAAGATACAGATTTTGAAACTAAGGAAGGAGAAGGACTTGAAGAGTGCTCCAAAATAGAAGTAAAAGAAGAAAGCCCTGAATCAAAAGCAGAAAGAGAATTTAAAGCTTCCCAGAAATCAATCAGAAAACACAGGAACATGCATTGCAAGGTTTCTTTGTTGGATGACACAGTTTATGAATGTGTTGTGGAGGTGAGTATGTTTTCATTTCCAACAATCAGAACTCTTACAGATTGTTTCATCTAGAGTTGGGTAAGTTGTGATTTTGCCCGTGATAAGACTCACCCTGATGATTATTCTTTTTTTTTTTTTTTTGAGACAGAGTCTGACTCTGTCACCCAGGCTGGAGTGCAGTGGCCCAATTTTGGCTCACTGTAGCCTCTAAATCCCACGTTCAAGCAGTTCTCCTGTCTCAGCCTCCCAAATATCTGGGATTACAGCCATGTGCCACCACACCCGGTTAATTTTTTGTATTTTTAATAGAGACAGGGTTTCACCATTTTGGCCAGGCTGGTCTTGAACTCCTGGCCTCAAGTGATCTGCCCACCTTGGCCTCCCAAATTGCTGGGATTACAGGCATGAGCCACTGCACCCGGCTTCTAATGATTATTTCTGTGGATGGAAGTATTAATGGTGATTTTCTGGAGGTAGGGTTATGGGAAGATTATGAGTCTTTAAGCCCAGTAGATGCCATTTCTTAAAATTTTCTATTATTTTCTGAAAGAATAAGTGATTGAATCAGGATTAAAGAATAATATCTGAGTTATTCAGTTACTCTTTTTGCTCCTTCAGGGCAAATTGAAATTTTTTAAAAAATTATATAATTTTCAAACTAGAACAGTAGTTGTTCATTATGGTATGCATGATATGTAAGCAATTGTTGTAATTGTTAGTGGTAACAGCTTTTACTGACAAAGCATATAATTCACATATATGTGCAACAAATTATTTGTTTATTTATGTTTTTGAGACAGGGTCTTACTCTGTTGCCCAGGTTGAAGTGCAGTGGCACAGTGATAGCTCACTGCAGTCTCAACTTCCTGGGCTCAGGTGATCCTCCCACCTCAGCCTCCTAAGTAGCTGGGACTACAGGCACACACCACAACACCTGGCTAATTTTTTTTTATTTTTGTAGAGACAAGGTCTCACCATGTTGACCAGGTCACTATCAAACTCCCAGGCTCAAGCAATCCACCTGCCTCAGCCTCCCAAAGTGCTGAGATTATAGGCATGAGCCACTGCACCCAGCCTTATTTCTTAATCAAATTATTTATGTGCAAGTGCAAATATGTTCAAGCACAAATCATCTAAAATATTATGCTATGTTTACTAATAGGTATTCTCTAAGTTTTAAAAGTGAAATCAAGAAAGATATAATTATACTTTGAAACAGGTACTATACACCTAACTAGAGACTTCGGGTCTACATTTTCTGCTTCTTATACTAATTTAGAGATGGGGAAAGCTATTTTACACTCATTCTTCCCATTCAGACCGAGATCCAGATGTGAGTTTCATATATGAAGCCCTTGGGGACAGATGTGATTTAGAATTCAGAATATTTTGGATTTTAGCAAGGTAATAAGTATATATCCTACATATTTTATAATACACCCAGCAGTGTCTGTAGTAGCACCCACGTGATCAAACATAGTATTTCTATGGCAAAATATATGAAGATTCATTCTAAGGTGGATAAATGAAGATTATAAATAGTCTCTTTACAGTTCAAGTCAAAATTTGCCATTTGGATTTTAATTATGAATAAGAGATTAGGGACCTATACATGAAGCATTTTCAAATCTTCATCTGCCATTTAGAATGAAAACATGGGAGAAAAAAAAAGAAAAAAATGATTTGATATGGATGAGTTAAGACTGACAATGAATGAACATTTATGTGAATTACTAGTAGTCATTAAAAAAACGCATCTCATTGAGAGGAGGACACATCATATATGTGTGCCCAAAAAATGGTTCTAATTTTTTGAAGTATTTTTGTATATATTTCTCAGAAGTCTTTCATATATTTGATTATTTTTAAACAATTCAAATTCTCATTTTCTTTGGGACATTTGGTCTGAAAATGATAGAGTCTAATGATTTCCACAGTCACAATTAAATGTCACTCTGTACAGTTGATTCAGTAATTCAGGTAGTCACAGTGACTGACAGTTGCCCATAGCATACTTCAGGAAGTATTGCACCCAAAATAAAGAATGTGATGTGTAGGATGGAGGTGGGGAAGATGAGATGGAAGGAAGGTAGAATTTTGCTTTGAATAATAACACAGTTTCCAAACTAGTATAAGTGTATTACAATTAACAAATTGAATAAAGGAATTTTGTAAATCATATTTTCTGCTTAAACTCTGTAGCCACCTGTAGGTTTGTTGGTAACCAAAGATAAAAGAAGAAATTGGAAAGTGACAGTTTATTTCATGATGGATATAGAAATAAGAAGAAACTTCAGGCCAGGTGCACTGGCTCACACCTGTAATCCCAGCTCATTGGAAGGCTGAGGCTGGCGGGGGGCAGGGGATCACTTGAGCCTGGGAGTTCAAGACTAGCCTGGGCGACATAATGTGACTCTGTATATAAAAAATTTTGAAAATTAGGTATGGTGGTGCACATCTGTAGTCCTAGCTACTCTGGAGGCCGAGGTGGGAAGATCACTTGAGCCCAGGAGATTGAGGCTGCAGTGAGCTATGATCAGGCCACTGCACTCCAGCCTGGGCAACAGAGTGAAACCCTATCTCTTTTGGGAATTAAAAAAAAAAAAAAAAAAAAAAAAGAAAAAGAAACCTCAACTCAACTGAGACACACATGTATCTTTGCAGAAACATGCTAAGGGACAAGATTTGCTTAAACGAGTATGTGAGCATCTCAATCTTTTGGAAGAAGACTATTTTGGTCTAGCCATTTGGGATAACACAACCTCTAAGGTGAGGAGACTGCTTGCAATTTAAGAAACTGACAAAAAATTTGTTTTAATTCTTGTTATTAAGAATGTATTTATACCTACTTCTCTAAGCCAGTGTTCTTAGAATTATTCCTGTCTATTCTTATTTCTTAGATTTTTCTGCTATTTTTCTTCTAGAATTAATTTTTCTGCTATTTTTCTTTTAAAGAAAAGACCACTGCTGTGTATTCTTTTATCACTGAAAGTATGTATTGTATGTTTTTAAAAGGCATGGAAAGTAAAGAGGTATGATGCACTGATTAGCAAGTACTGTGCATAGGAGGTTCATAACAAATACTTGTTGAATGGATGATCTGTTATTAATATTATAATGACCATATCATAATTAAACATAATTATGATATATAATTATAATTTGAAAGCAACATTATGGAACGGAATAAAATCCCAATATTATTGAAACAGCCTTAATGATGAATCTGAAATTTTTTCCAAAATGAAACCAGTTGTTAACTTTTGAAGGAAGTGAAAGAATGGGTACAGACATGGAGGAAGGAAGAAAGGTTAAAAGTCAGGTATTTACCTCAGAACACTTGAATTATTTCCTAGCCAGTTAATTGAAAATTGCAAATATTTTACATGAATCTAATGATAAAAGCTTTAGTGCAGTTTAACAAGTATTTGCAGGTGCTATACTAGATGATATGGATGCAGCTATGAATAAGGTATACATGGTTCCTGCCCTCTGGAGCTTCCAGTGTATTATGAAGACAACATTAATTACTGGTTTGATGAGTGTTATACAAAAGGAAATACAGGTTGTCAGGGGAGAGTATGGCCTGGGAAGTCTCCTCTGGGGAGGTGATACCTAAGCTGAGGGAGACCTGAAGGATAAAATGGGAGAATGCCAAGTGAGAGAATGGCTTAGGTAAGTCCTGGAGTTGAGAGAGCAACATTTCAGGAACTGAAAGCCATCTGGCCTGGCTGAACATAGGGTATGAGGAATAGAGTAACAGGTGAATCTGGAGAGGTATACCTCCAGGTTGGGGGATGGGTATAAAGGGGGGGATCCTGGAGAGAGTCTTGTCAACACTGAATTTAAGCCATTTAAGTTCATCCTTTCTCCAAGATGATTTCAGTTTATTAAGAAAAGTTGAGGGGGCAGCAGCCTTTAATATCTGCAAACTTTGTAGGTTAGGTTATGTGAGTTAGATAATGAAAACTGGGAGATATGGAATTATCCTTTGTCTAAACAAAATGTATTTGTAGACTATACCTAGTAGTTTACAAAAATGTGTTCCTTCTATGAATGACTACTGACTCAAACAGAACTATGTTTGAGCACCATGTTAATATTATTCTTTAAGGACTTACCTTTTACTTTGTCTCCCTTAGGGCTCAAACCAACCTGTACTGGTAAACATAGCTAATATTTGACTACTGTACATTTCAATATCATGAAGAGAGTAAATCTCAAATGTTTTCATCCATAAAAGGTCAAATATTTGTGGTAATGGATAGTTTGATTCATTTTATTTAATCATTTCACACTGTATTAAAAAAATCATATCACTTTCTGCCCCATAAATATACACAACTATAATTTTTCAGTGTATAATTTTGAAAAGTCTAGCCTGAATTGAAATCACTATTTCCCATTAGTAAGGGAACATTGAAGTTAATTTAAAAACAAAACAGTTCTCTCAAAACTGCCTTGAAAAACTTTCTGCAACTGTGAGCTAGAAAATTCTCCCATGAATCAAGGGAAATACTCTGAAAAGTGTTTTATATAAGTTCATGAGATAATTTTGATTTCCAAAAATTAATAGTTACATCATGGGGAAAAAAACAACCAAGATTGATTTGAGAATAATTAAAAATCCTTTAATTTGGCATGTAAAGTCACCAAGTACCTACATGTTTAATATGGCTGGAAATATTTTTTCTGTGATCCAAGCATACTTACATTTCTAGAAGCGGGCTCATCTAAAGCCATTTAGCAGAGGAAATCATTTCCACTTACAGTTGAGCTTCTAGGGCCCATGTTGGGACAAAAATTTTTAGTTACACTGAAAACTTTTCATCATTGTTGGTGTGATTTATATTCTGTCCTGTCACCAAGTTTATTTTCTTTATAGTGGTTTTCACTTTCTTTTCTTTTTTTTTTCTTCTTTGAGACAGGGTCTCACTCTGTTGCCTATGCTGGAGTGCAGTGGCGCAATCTTGGCTCGCTGCAGTCTGTGCCTCCTGAGTTCGAGCGATCTTCCTACCTCAGCCTTCAAGTAGCTGGGACCACAGGCATCCACCACTAGGCTTAGCCAATTTTTTTTTTTTTTTTTTTTTTTTTTGAGACGGAGTTTCACTCATGTTACCCAGGCTGGAGTGCAATGGCACGATCTCGGCTCACCACAACCTCCGCCTCCTGGGTTCAGGCAATTCTCCTGCCTCAGCCTCCTGAGTAGCTGGGATTACAGGCACGCGCCACCATGCCCAGCTAATTTTTTGTATTTTTAGTAGAGACGGGGTTTCACCATGTTGACCAGGATGGTCTCGATCTCTTGACCTCGTGATCCACCCGCCTCGGCCTCCCAAAGTGCTGGGATTACAGGCTTGAGCCACCACGCCCGGCCTGGCTTAGCCAATTTTAAAATTTTTATATTTTGTAGAGATAGGATTTTACTATGTTGCCCAGGCTGGTCTTGAACTCCTGGGTTCAACCAATCCTGCCTCAGCCTCCCAAAGTGCTAAATTACAGATACAAGCCACTGTGCCTTGCCACTATTGTAATTAGTTTGTTTTTGCTTTTATTTTGAGATGGAGTTTCACTCTTATCACCAAGGCTAGAGTGCAATGGCGTCATCTCGGCTCACTGCAACCTCTACCTCCTGGGTTCAAACAATTCTCCTGCCTCAGCCTCCCAAGTAGCTGGGATTTCAGGCATGCACTACCACACCCAGCTAATTTTTTTTGTTTTTAGTAGAGACAGGGTTTTACCACGTTGTCCAGGCTGGTCTCGAACTCCTGACCTCAGACGATTCACCACCTTGGCCTCCCAAAGTGCTGGGATTACAGATGTGAGCTATCACACCTAACTGTAATTAGTTTTTAATGAGCAAATATTAAATTGCTTTATGTGTAAAGTGTTATTAAAAGTGCTTAATATATATTTATGTGTAAAGTGTTGCTAAAAGTGCTTAATATAAAAGCTTAATGACAAAGTACAAACCTGGCTGTGTAAGAAAAGGGCATTATTGTCCCCCGTAAGTATTTTTGGAAAAGAAAAGTTGATACCTCTGAATCATAATCTGGTCTCAACTTCCCTGATTGTAAGAGCTCCTACTGGGGACTCAGAGTGCAAGTGAATCCTGGGAAATGGGCCTTATCATAGTCAGGGCATCTGCAGGCCTGTATGGACCAGGTTCTTATAGGATATCCAGTGGGAACATCATCAAAGGGAATGGGCTACTCTATATTTTGTGCTTCTAAGTTAATCACGGTCAACCTCCAGCTCAGAAGTAGGTTAAAACAGAGTGGTTTTTTGGACTAAAATGAGAGTCTTTAGCTGATCTAAGAAGCAAAACATGGAAGGGAAAGTAGGACTTCATTAGCACATGGCCCTGGTAAATCTTGTACAAAAATGAATCTGGGGAAGATTTACCTTAGGATTGTCAGATTAAAGGGTCAATACAGTAACAAAAGCACCTCAGTGATGGCAGGCCTTCCTTAATATGCTGTCACTTGGCTGGGTGCAGTGGCTCATGCCTATAATCCCAGCACTTTGAGAGGCTGAGCTGGGTGGATCACCTGAGGTCGGAAGTTCATGACCAGCCTGGCCAACATGGTGAAACCTCATCTCTACTACAAACACAAAAAATTAGCCAGGCATGGTGGCACATGCGTGTAATCTTAGCTACTCGAGAGGCTAAGACATAAGAATCGCTTGAACCCAGGAGGCAGAAGTTGCAGTGAGCTGAGATCGCCCCATTGCACTCCAAAAAAAAAAAAAAAAAGGTGAGGTCTGGTGGCTCATGCCTGTAATCCAGCACTTTGGGAGGCTGAGGCGGGGAGGGGATCATGAGGACAGGAACTGTTCAAGACCAGCCTGGTCAAGATGGTGAAACCCTGTCTCTACTAAAAGTACAAAAAATTAGCCAGGCATGGTGGTGGGTGTCTGTAATCCCAGCTACTTGGAAGGCTGAGGCAGAGAATTGCTTGAACCTGGGAGGCAGAGGTTGCAGTGAGCCAAGATCATGCCACTGCACTCCAGCTTGGGTGACAGAGCAAGACTCTGTCTCAAAGAAAAAAAAAAATTGTGTCTTTTAAGTCTAGTCTGGGTGGGTATCAAGCTCTATTTTGTACACAGCTGTTCCTGGTATTTCCCATTACTATCATCCTGGGATGTGCTTTGCCGCTTTCCTGTGATGTTTCATTGTCTTCTAGCTTCCAGTGTTGTACTTGAAAAGGCCAGAGCCATTTTGATTTTTGATCCTTTGTATGACTTTTGTTCATCTCCCTCCTCCTGTATACAATCAGACAAGTGTGATCTTTTCTTTTTTCTTGTCCTTATGAAGTTGAGAGTTCACAATTATATATCTTGGTGTGGGCTGATTTTCTTCTATTGTTCTGGGCCATGTCTATTTTTTATCCAGGCTGATTTCCTAAAGAATGTCATCTAGCATATTGCCTGGCCTGAATGTGGTAGGCATTTAATAAATGTTTATTGACAGAGTGAGACATACTGTTACACTTGAGAGAATAGCTTTGCTACATACTAGTTGCAAGTTAGATAAGTTACTTGTCCTTCTGCTTTTTCATTGGTAAAATAGGAATGATAATGAGATAATCTATATGAAAATATGTGGAATGATGCCTGACATGTCATAAGCATTCAATAAGAATTAGGTGTTATCATTATTATTATGATAGGATTATTGGCTGGGCATGGTAGCTCATCCCTGTAATCCCAGCACTTTGGGATGTAGAGGCAGGTGGATCGCTTGAGCCCAGGAGTTTGAGACCAGC